TCCCCACTGGGGTGCCTGGCCAGTCTGGGTGAGGGGCTGAGGGCTGTTTTCAGGCTGGGGGTGACTGAAGCTCCCAACTGCTCCTTTTTTTCTTTTTTCTTTTTTTATTCTGGGTCAGCTTTAGCTTTGAGGCTTGGCTCCAGCTCTTAGGCCTCCGCGGCTGATAGTAGGTTTCTGGCCTTTGCTTGCAATGTTGCAATCCTGCTGGCTGAAGTCTGGTGGGATTTGTTAAAATGTTTCTTAAACTGCCAGCTCAGAGGCCTGCAGCCGCAGGCAGGGAATGTTGGTTTCCTCCATCACTGAGGTAAGCAAGCCTCATGTTAGTTTCAAGCTGCCTGGCTGCCGGCCACCATCTTGGCTGACAGTTAATTTGCATATCTCGCTGATTAGCCAATGAAAAGGGTAGCGGTCATACGCCAATTACCATGTACATGTTTTTTCCTTCATATTGTGGTGTGGGACATGGTATTTCCCTGTTAATTTATTAATATTGACACACACCCTTCCTAACTATCTTTCTACCTTTTGTATTTCCTTACACTCTAATCTTTTATAAAGTAGCAACATAATTATTACTATGACTTTTAGTGCATATGATCTATATATAAAGCTCTAGATGATAAATATTTATCTAGAAATAAAAATACGACATGATCTCACTCATTTATGGAATATAATGAATAACATAAACTGATGAACAAAAATAGATCCAGATACAGAGAAGCATCGAACAGACCTTCAAACCTCAGAAGGAAGGCAAAAGAGGATGAGAGGGTGGGTAAGAGATCAACCAAATTACTTGTATGCATGCATATAAGCATAACCAATGGAAACAGATAGTAGGAGGGTGAGGGAATATGCTGGGGAGCAGAAGCACACAGGGAGAGGTCATTGAGGGGGAAAAGAGACCTATGTAATACTTTCAACAATAAAGTATTTTTAAATACTATATCTGAGGTTCCTTCCAGTTTAAAAATCTATAATTCTACAAAAGTATCCACAAAAATGAAAATTATAAAATAACAACATAAACAGAGATGGCTACCTTAGTCAGACCCTCCCTAAAATCTTAAGATCACTCTTCTGTAAATCTATATCTTGTAACATGAGAGACTAGTACATAGGCCTTGCATAGAATAACCTAATAGTTATGCATTCTTTAAAACTAGAGAGGAATTTCCAAAATAATTTAGATATAATCCTTTTTGAAAGCTAGCAATAAATTTTAAATGACCTCAGGTTTTCCTTGTAGTTAAATATTTCCATATTACATCTCCTTTCTACCCTAAAATTGAATACAATCTTATTTAGTTTTTATTTTTCACTTTTTGTTGTATTTCCTTTATGTAAGTATAGTTGTATATGATATCATATTAGTTTCAGGTGTACAATATAATGAATCAATATTTATACACCTTACAATGTGATCACCACCTCCTTGAATTTAGTAATCATCTGTCACAGTACAAAGTTATCACAATATTACTAATTATATTACCTTCAACTTTTTCGCCCATCTTCCAATTCATTCCCCTTTGGCAACCATCAGTTTGATCTGTTTCTATGAGTCTGTTTTTGTTTTGTTTGTTCATTTGTTTTGTTTCTTTAGAGTCCACAGATGAGTGAAAATATAATTCAGAGAATTATGTATTTTAGTAATGTAGTTACTCATATACTGGCAAGTAAAAATTTCACCCATTACACTCAAAATTTCATGGCATGTAAATTATACCACAATAAAGTTGTCTTATAAATTCATGTGTAGCCCTGGCCAGTATGGCACTGTTAGTTGGGCATCATCCCATACACTGAAAGGTGGCGGGTTTGATTCCTGATTTCAGTAGGTGATGTGCAGGAGGCAGTTGATCAATGTTTCTCTCTCACATTGATATGTCTCTATCTCCCTTCCTTTCCTTCCTCTCTCTCTAAAAAATAAAAATAAAAATTTCATGTGTGAGAGTTTCTGACAGGAAAATGTGTCTTATATTTTGGCCTGCTATTATTTTGTTAATAATTGGATTTATTTATTATTAATGTACCTGAATAAATTTTAATTGACAAAAGATTTTCTCCTTTCCCATTATTCTTTCCTTTAATTCTAAAATGTAGCTTAGTAAGTTAACATGAGTACTCACTTGGCAAGAATCTGCTTCTCCCTCTTCCATTGGCTCATCAACCATTTTCAGATGATTTACCTGCAAAATATTGTTCAAAAACTTAAGTTCAAGCGTACTAGAACAAGAGTAATAATTTTTAAAAATCTAACCTTAGGCATTTCCCTTCACAAGCAAACAAGATCCACACTTACTGAAACACAAAAAGACAAAGGACACATAGAAGGTAATTAGAAAAAAAGCATTATTAATATAGTTTCCATATAGTCATTGAGAATACTTGAATTTCAATGCTATATGTTTCACTTCATATTGGTTAGAGCTTTGCTATGATGAATTAAGATAAACTAAACATATGATGTGTACACTCATTAAGACAGTCCCCAACCAAATATTTATGAGGCGGGGTAAAATGCCACAGAAGAAATTTATGGTGTGAATATATTCAAAGCAAGTTAGGATGGGAATAGTTTTAATTAATTACACTGCTGTGAATCCCTTCCCTTTAATTCAACTTTATTAAAATCCGAGTTACTTATAGAAGAATAAACTGTAGAAGTAAAATATAAGTGGCCATGAGAAAATTATTTTAACATACAAAGCACAGTAGATAATAATATTTACTCTTCAAACATTACTTCAAGAAAGAGTAAGTGTAGAAGGCTAAGTTCAAGAGTCCTCAAACACTAGCCCATGGGCCAAACGTGGCCCGCTATCTGTTTTATAAATAAAATTTTACTGGAATGCAGACACATCCATTTGTTTCCATATTATCTATGGCTGCTTTCTCAATGCAACAGCAGAGTTGAACAATTGACAGAGCCTTATGCATGCAAAGCCTAAAATATTTACTATTCGACACTTTACAGAAAAAGTCTACCAACCACCAATCTAAGATGTTTGAAAATTAAGCAACAAGATGATCTAGAAAAAAATAATTTTCACCAATTTCTATTTATGAATCCACAGAAAAGTAAAAAATAAAAATAGGAAGGTAAAGTACATAACCTTTGGTGACAGCCACGATGGAATAAACCTATCTTGCCTATGATTACACACTGAAGCCTTTAGACAAAACACAAAAGGGATCTACCTAAGTACTCTGAAAATTAAACAATAACATGCAGTTTAAGGAGGGAGACCAAAATTTGAAGAATAACAGCAGTGTAGTGAGTTTCCTGAGTTTATTTTCCACCTTTATCTCCTGACATTGATCCAAAGAGAGACTGATTCACAACACTCTACAGTGAGAATAAGAAAAATTTTCAAGAGAAATTCCACTTTCTGAACAGAAGACTAGGGTAAGATACACTTTTGAGTAGGTGAGCATAAGAATCCCAATTTTTCTTTTTCCCCATTTTTCTTTTGACTCCCAGTCCTGCTTCAAGGCAAGCCCCAATCAAGAGAAGACCTATATATCTCTAGTCAGAGGAACCAAAAAAAGAGGCCCATATAATAAGAAAAGTATGAAGGTAATCACTGTTATTGTTTTATCCTCTCTTTCACTTCAGTCCAAGGGTATCCCCAAAGTTCAGAGTTGTGTGACAGCATGAGAGGCTAAGACCTGAGAGAAACTCACATTTCTGGTCAGAGGAACAATGATAAAGGACCCATGGTAACTGGAGAATCCACAGAAAAAATTATGGGAAGATTAAAATAGGAGGAGGAGATCCCCTAATTATAAGTATGAAGAGACAGAAGTCCTAGTTCCAACAACTGTATGGTTATATAAATTGTGTTTCATTAAAGCTGATTTTAATAATGAATGAGTTTCTAAAATGTGGTGAAATATATAAATTTACAGTTTAAAGAAGCTCAATGAACACAAAGAAGAATATAATCAAAGAAAGCCACCCCAAGATATTTCTTAATAAACTCTAAACCAAAAGGAAAAAGAGGAAAAATATTGAAATCAGTGAGAGGAAAAACAACATGTTACATAAATATCAAATTAAAGTAACTACAGATTTCTCATGAGAAGTCCTGGAGGTTAGAAAACCGTGGCAGAATATTTACCTGAGATAAATATAAATTTATGTTAACACAAAAAACTATACATGAATGTGTATAGCAGCTACGTTTATAAATATCAAAAACTGGAAACGTTCCAGATGTCCTTCAACTGGTAAGTAGATAAATAGAAAACCATTCATCAATTAAAAGGAAAGGACTATTGATGCTTGTAACAAAATGGATAAATCTTAAATGCATAACAGTAGTGCAGTGAATTTCCTGAGTTTATTTTCCACCTTTATAGCCTGACTTTGATCCAAAGAGAGACTGATATTTCTTAAATATTGTAAGAAAATAAATACATGACACTGAAAAATTCAAAACTATAGGGAAAATTTTCACATCAATGATTTCTAGGGGAAGGGGTTAGAAGAAGGAGAATATATTCAGCAATTAAAAGAAATGATCTATTGATACATTTAACAACATAGATGAATCTCGAATACATTATTATAAATAAAAAATAAAACAGTCTGAAAAGACCACATACTCTGATTCCACTTATATGTCATTTTGGAAAAGGTAAAATTATAAATTATGGAGAAGAGATTAGCAGTTGCCAAAGGTTAGGCCTTGGGGTATGGCTATACTACAAAGATGCAGCAATGGGAATTTGGTAGGGACTATTCTGTATCTTTTTTTTCTTTTTTATATAATTTTTTCTTCATTGATTAAGTTATTACATATGTGTCCTTATTCCCCCTATGCTCCCCCATCCCCCACTCATGCCCTCACCCCCCTGGTGTCTGTGTCCATTGGTTAGGCATACATTCATGCATACACGTCCTTTGGTTGATCTCTCCCCCTCACCCCCACCCTTCCCTAACTTCCTTCTGAGGTTGATGGTTTGATCGATGCTTCTCTGTCCTGGATCTGTTTTTTGTTCATCACCTTATGTTGTCCATTATATATTCTGTATCTTGATTATGTGTTGTTGACATAACTCTAGGCATTTGTCTAACATCAGAACCATACATGAAAAAGAGTGAATTCACTATACAGTGGGACCTTGACTTATGAGTGTCCTGACTAATGAGTTTTTTGAGATACGAGCCGTCTCTCTGCCGAGTTTTTGCTTTGAGTTGCAAGCTAAAATTCAGGTTACGAGCCAGCTTCAGATACCCCACCGCTAGTTGGCTCAGCGAACATCACAGTGAACGCCACAACATCAGCCCAGCATCACGTGTCTCACTCGTTCACTGTTGATTTAACATATGAGTAATTTGAGTTACGAGCTCTGTCTTGGAATGAATTAAACTCATAAGTCAAGGTCCCACTGTACTAGTAAGTTTTAACATAAATGTATTAAGAAGTAAATTATGGTACCCAGCATTATTTATTTGACTAGCATCTTTCTTCTAAAAACTGAACGAGGACTAAATAAAGTCACCAATAATATCTACTGTGCTAATTGATCCATCAGTCCTTATCTTACTTGATCTTGCTGTATCAAGCCAAAGTTGACCAATATCTCCCATTTGAGTCTTTGGCTTCTGTGATAACATACTTTCATTTTCTTTTACTCTAATTTCTTTGCTCTTTTTAAATATCCTTAAAATATTTTAGATCCTCAGGAAATGGATTTTGGTCTCCTTCTCATCTCATTCTACATTCTTTTTCCAGACAGCTAATTTATCAACATGACTCACATTTACTGAGATTTCTCTTCTGAGCTCTCAATCCATATATCCAACTGCCTAATTGACATTTACACTTGCTTATTTCACATGTCTCTCAAAAAATAACCAATACAAAAAGGAATGTGTTAACCCCTCAAACACACACACACACACACACACACACACACACACGCGCGCGCGCACGCGCATATGTTTTCCACCAGGGTTCCCGATTTCAATACATAGATAGCACCATCTACCAACTTACCTAAAAAGCACAGATAGACTGGGGGATTAAAAAAAAACTGTGATGGATTTATCATTAACATATAGGAAAAGTACAATAAATAAAAACAGTCCACAAACCAATATTAACATAGAATTCTGACCACTGAAATGGCACTACAAAATGACTCTCAGGAAGACACACAGAAAAATATAATACTTGTTTTCCTGTTACCTTAGTTACTGTTCACTTCCCATTATTACCATCTTAGGACCAACTTATCATAAACTGTGGGTCTGAAGGAACTAGAAATAAAATGAGTCTAAATGAGCCAAATAGGTCACTGTATCCTATAAATCATTTCAATCTACATAAATAGCCTTTAAAAACAGACATTCCATTAGTCCCACCTCAACTACATTTAACAAGGTACCAGGTTGTCATCATAATACTCATTCCTATAGAGGACCTCAGTATTTACTGATATTTACTAAAATATAAATAATTTTTACCTGTATGAAAACAAATTATTTTCAGAATTCTATGGGGCATTAAATATTTATTTCAAAAGTAACATTTATCATTTGAATAAAAAAGCAGACATGCTGATCCTCCCAATTAAGTGTCAGGGAAAAATTATTTCCTATAGACGACTCTGGAAAGCTTATGAACAGTTTTAAAGGTAGTAATAATTTACTCAGATACTCCAGAACCCAAGTTAACAGACTCTTCTAGTGAAGAATTCTTTAAAATTTTCATCCTCTCAGAAAATAATGAAATAAATCACTTTAATAGATTCTTGACAAATAGAAATACTAAAGTGAGTTGCTATACTCACCTGATCTCAGAAAATCACATGGGTCATCTCAAACCTGTCATTTTCTTACTACTAATGACAAAAGCAGCTCAATGCAGAAAAGTGAACTGAGAAAAATATTTTTTCCTCTTATATCCTTAAAAATGGAGGTGGTGTGAAAAAATGAACATACTAAGTACATACAGTTTTATAAAAAGGTTGTTATCTGGCCACAATAACACTATTAAGCATACACCTGTTCCTCTGTACTAAATTCAAGATCATTTAACAGAGCTCATAGCTTGGTGCTGAAAGATATACTGAAGAAGGAAGTGAAGAGATAAATAAGAACAAGGTACACAGTAAGTGAGAAGAAATATGGGTGACAAATTATTAACAAAATGTATATAAGACACAAACCCTCACA